CGCTCCTGGTGACCTCACCACTGCAACCATCGCGGACAAGCAGGTGCTGCTGTACACGCAGGTGTCGTTCAGTCCTACTGCGCCAGAAGGAACCAGCGGAATGGGCACGTTCCGCAGAGTCATCCACCTGTGGCTCTCCGACGGTGCCCGGACACACGACGTTGGGCCGATATCTGCGGATGATGCGGGCGACGCCCCTTTTAGCTCGCTGCTGTACACAAACGATGAGCTCTTTGCCCTCTACGCGAAGAAAGGCGCGTCTGAAGGATCAGACATTCTTGTTTTTGCGCGCCTCCCGGAGCAGCTGCAGCGGATCAAGACTGTGCTGCAAACATGGAACGATGTGGACGGTAGAGTTGCAAAGCTTTGCAGCTCCGACACCCCCACCGTTGCGGAGGGCGCCGCAGAACCCGCTGCTGCCTGCGTCGGTGCTACGCCAACGGAAGGTCTGGTTGGGTTTTTGTCGAACAATGGCAACAATACCCACTGGAAGGACGAGTACCTTGGGGCGGGCGCTACGGTGTCTGGAGAAGCAAAGAAGGTTGCCAATGGCTTTGCGCTGGCAGGGCGGGGTGCGCAGATTGCGTGGCCGGTGGACAGAGACGGGCATGGCCCAGGGCACGGTTCTGCGGGCGAAGAGGTGACTCTTGTGGCGACGGTGACCATCAACAAGGCGCCGCTGACCGCCACCCCACTGCTGGGCGTGATGACGATGCCCACTGGGTCGTATCTGGGGCTGTGGTACGACGAGCACAAGCGCTGGAAGACGAAGTTCGGGACGGAAGGAGCGAGTGCACAAACAATGACGTGGGAGGAGGGAAGGGCATACCGAGTGGTGCTCACGGTGAAAAATGGCAGCGGCTCGGCGTACGTCGACGGACGGCTTGTGGGGAGTTTGGAGAATAAACCTCCGTTTACAGATGCGTTTCCTCCGCCTCCGCCTCCGCTTCCTAGTGACGAACCTCCGCGCGAAAGGCCGCCGGAGAGGGTCTCGCACATCTTCGTTGGGGAATACAGGTACGACGAGGAAAACGCAGAGTTCCACGTGACGGTGACGAACGTCTTGCTGTACAGCCGCTGCTTCGACGCCAGTGAGGTTGCGGCGCTGGAGAGGAAAGAAGAGGATGCGTCGGCGCCGGGCCTAAACAACGCCTCCGCCGCACTTGCAAAGGGGGCTGCTGGCACAGTGCAGAGGGAGGCTGGCGGCGGCGACGGCGCTGTGCGTGGGTGTGTGTCTCGGCTGCTGCTGCTGCTTGCCCTGCTGGGGCTGTGGGGCACGACGGCTCTCTGCTGAGTGCAAGAGGGAGAGTGGATTTGTAACTCCTAGTGGAGAGTGCGCGCTGCGACCCATGCGGGTCTCTTCATTTATATATC